CTGGGCCACTACAGAACATCCACACTGAACAACATCTAACAATAAATTGTACAGTGTGGTTCATTGAACATTGGGAAAAGATTGTTTTATTTGTTCAAATTTAAAAAAAAAAAATAAATAAATCATGTGTGCAGTTTATTCTCTATAACTTTCTGTAATTGTCTCCAGCAGCTGATTTCTGACTGAAGCTTCATTTTCTCTGTCTGGTTTCCAGATGAAGGTCTTCTCCTGGTGAGCCCCGTCCATCCTGTGACTGAAGGAGCTTCTGTTACTCTGAGCTGCAGACTGAGAGGAGAAAACAATATTTCTGATGTGATTTTCTATCATAATGACAAACTGATCCAAAATGACAGCAGAGGAGAGCTGAAGATCTCTGCAGTGTCTCAGTCAGATGAAGGTTTCTACAAGTGTGAACATTCAGGAAAAGCTTCACCTCAGAGCTGGATGGGAGTTAAAGGTGAGTTTAATGTTGTACGTCTTTTAATAAGGTAATGAATAGTTGTGAAAACCTAGACTCATATTAATATCAAGATGTTTTCTTATTTTATAACAGCTGGTTCAAAACCGAGCAGCTCTTCATTTCCTGTCATTTGGGTCGTTGGTTCGGTTTGTGGAGTCGTTCTTATTGTCCTCCTGCTGCTTGTGTGTTGCTTCATAAAGTTCAAAGGTCAGACTTAATCTTCTAATGACATATAGAAAGTGTCATACTGACATCAATCTCATGTTGAAAACCAGAAAAACAATCTCTGAACATCTAATCATGTTTCTATAAATGTATCTTTCAGATCCTCTCTGCCTCAGGTCTGTAAAACTCTTTCATTTGCTCTCATCGACACACAAAAAAGTATTTACAATGCATTTCATTTTCATGTTATTTTTTATATATTGTGTTTGTTCCAGGTTGGTCGGGTCAGAGAGCAGAGGTCGTGGCTCTGACTCAAATCACACAGTCAGTCAATCTGAAGGTAATGAGTACAGCTCTCCTCTACATGGTCAGTACTGAATCTGTCTGTATCATTAGTTGATCGTATTTTTATAACATTATGAAATTATTAGTGTCAACAAAAATTGTAACTTTTGTTTAGCTTTCAGTGACTGAATTATGACAGAAATACAAAAAAAACCCCACAAAGCTTGAGTTTATTTTTATTTAATTTTCAACTATTAATTTCTAATAAAAAAAAAAAAAAAAGGCCAACTGGAATAAACTTAATTGCTATAATTGTGATAGGAAATAATTTGCATTTTATTTGTTACCTTTAGGTGCATCTAACTTGTATGACTCAGTGAGACCCTCTGAAGACCCTGTAAATGGTGAAGTTTACCTGCTGAAACACTGAAACATCCAACACAAAGCCAAAATCAAGGCTAATTCCAAATAACTTAAATTCCTGAGTAGCTGAATTTAAGTCTTGATGTGTTTCAGATGCAAACGACGACCAACACATCACCTACTCTCTCCTTGAATTTAAAAACTCTGAAAACAAAAGTGAGTTCCTCCAACACTGAAGGGTTAAAACATGTCTTCTGAAAGGATTGTTTTTCTTAAAAAGCATAAATTCATTTTTTTTTTGTCTTCAGTATTTATAAACATAATGTATATTAATAATTACTCAGGGGACCACCGTGAACCACAGGAGGGCGCCGTTTATTCTGATGTCAGAGCAGGAGCTGCAGGTACAATCAGCAGAATCAGTAACTGTTGGACATCATCGGTTAGAAATGATCAGAAATATTAATCTAAAGCCTTCATGAATTGTTAGTGTAGACTACAGGTTCAGATTCAACATCTTTCATCAACTTCATGCTATTTTGTGCTAGGAGATGTTTCAGCTTGTTTGGAAACAGTCACGTTTATCATCAGCTTTACACTATGGGTGCATTTACATTATACCTGCTTAATCCGTTTTAATCAAATTCTAGTTCATTAGCCTAGAAAGTCCGGTTCATTTAGGGAGGTGTGAATGATCAATCAAACCCTGATGTGGACCAGAACAGTGAACTAAAAACCTAGGACTCAGTTCAGTTGAGGTGAACTTTGAAGCGGTTCGAATGCATGTGTGGATGCAAGCGGACCGAAAACCGCACCAAAAGCAGGAAGTGAAATATAGCGCAGGGCATTCTGGGTAAATACAACCAAAACAAACCTGAAAGTCTCCACTAGCTCATGGTCTTTTACCAACAACAACCACTAAAATCTGACCCTACTTCAATTTTGTTTACCTTTTATGAAGAAGGAAGTACGCTCATGTCTTCTTCTGAAGTTTCCCTGTCATTTTCTTCAGTGGCTCTTGGTGCAGCGCCACCACAGGGTGAAATGGTTTATCAAAGGGTTTAGATTGTTTGACACAGTGCAGTGTGAAAGCGAACCGCACCAGCTGAAAATGTTTCAATTTTGCTCCCCAATCGAATCGTGTCTACCGGACTATCGGGTGTGAAAACACTCTCTGTACTAATGGCTTTGTTACATACAAACATCCAGACCATCTGTCACAACCCAAACACTTAATGAATATAGGAAATGTATTAGCTTAGGCATTTTAAATGGATTATTTGTTGATTATTTAAGGCTCAAATAAAATGTTATCTTTATGGTTTATATCTATTTCACATTTGTCCTCTTCCATGTAACTGTATTGATTTTTTTCTGCATCTACAGGAAGGTCCAGTCCAGCAGCAGCCGATGCAGCCGTTTACTCTGAAGTGAAATCGACCTCTGGATACTGATGATGCTGAATGTTGATGGGATTTATTCAACAAGATATTCTTGATATTTACGTTAGATCTCTATATATTTATATATATTTTAAAATAATTTCAATTGAGATAAAATGTAAATAATATGCCAAGATATATAGTTGAGCTATAATTCAAGATTTGATCAAGTGAGTTATGTAATATTCCGGAGTTAAACAAATTGCCTCCCAACTATAGATTGTGAAAACGACAACAGAAAAATGGCGTAAAAATGTGACGGATCTCAAGATGGCTACAATTACTTTGTAGAAATAGCTTTTTATTTTTATTTCTTTTCATGAAAGGTATATTTATGCCTAAAGTTAAGAAAATCAAACACCATAAAATTATCAGATTTGCAGATAAACAGCAGTGAGAAAATGAATTTTGTATTACAAACATTAGAGATGTGTTTTAGTTTGAAGTGAACAAAGTAATGTAAATGACATCAGGGCTAAAAGATTTAAGTGAATGAGTCAACCTAACCCAACATGTATTTATGTGACCCCTTCTTTATTCCTTTAGCGGCTTTCTGTTCAGTGATCACTATGTTTTAGGGGGACCGTTATTGTGGTTGCACAACATGTTTCTGTTTGTATTAGGTTTGCTCTTTTGGGTTCTGAAGAGCGCATATTACAATGTTTAAAATTTAATATGAAAACAATCTATAAAATAAAAAAAAATAAAATAATAATGAGGGAATTGGGTCCAAGAGGCAGACGGTTGGTTTGACTTGTGGTTGATGCATCTCAACCACAGCAAACTTGTCCAGAGTTTCCTCAAGTAAAAACAAACTTTGAATCGATTTATAAACAGTATTTTTGCTCAGACAATGTTGCTAAGTCCATTAGAGCTATTATTTTAAAATGTTAGCTCTAACTGAACTCAATTAGACCTAAAACATTTTAGCATTAAAAGTGTTAGCTTTTTGAAGCTAAAGTGTTAGCTTTAATTGATTCTAGCCTCTAAACTGTTCACAAAGAGAGTCAGTTGCAGTATTTGAAGAAGCATTAAAATCAGCTTTGGTCATTTTATCAGTGGTAGAAAACAAAACGTTGGGATTATTTTTGTGACTGTTAATTGTTTTCTGGTAAACTATGCATTTCTTGAATTTCTGACAGCAGAGTTGTAAATATTACGTGGTAGATTGTCGATTTTTTTTCCCCCTCCATTTCCTCTCTGCTTTACTGGAATTTTCTGTTGAGTTTCTTAATATCTGTAGTTTTCCATGGGCATACTCGTTTATTAAAATCTTTTTTTGAGAATAGTGGAGCTGTATGGTCCAACTTTGTTTTCATTTTGTTGAAAAAGTGACTGACCAGTGAATCACGGGAATTGGTTTAAAATAACAGAGGGATTTTAGTTAAAAACACCTCAGGGGTAAGATGGCGCCTCCTGGCAGCTCAGACTGTGGGCTCTCATTGGACCAAACCAGTGATATTAGAAAACACACAGTAGAGGTCAGACACAGCCAGGTCAACAACAGAGCAAAACCATAAATAATGACAAGGTCAAGCAGAGGGTTGGGGGGGAAACAACAGCAGAGATAATATCTTTACTTCCTTTTCAGATTCCCACATGTTTTTCTATAATTACAGAACAATATTTAATTTTTGAAGGTTTGTCACCAGGAAAAGTAAAACTACAATTTGGCTAAATTGTGAATCTTCAAGAAATTACATTATTTCATCATTTTACATCTTAAAACGTAGAGACTTTGATGGACAAAAGCAACTATATTTACTTGTAGTCATTAATAATGGTTAATTGTTTATTTTTTATTTTTTTGCAAAGCACACAAAAATCTATTTACAAAACCTCTTTTGTCTCTTTTAGTAATATTCAAATACGAGCTTCCTGTAAAAAACAACATAAATAATATATGCAAACCAATGAACCAGTGTGTGGCTGTTTCTAAGAATAGACCAACCGGCTAATAGATCGACAACAGGAGCTTTTGGTTAGAAATGTTCTAATTGAAAACCACAATTAGTTTCCTCAAAGGAAGAAACCAGAAGGACGGATATTCTGTGAAGACGTTTGCCTTTTTCACAAATGCTGCCCTTATTCTGCAATTTAAGCCTTTCTTCTGTGACAAAGAACAACATTTCCGGAGCGCACACTGGATTTTATTTCTGGATATAAACATGGGTCACACACTGCTCTGTGTGCTGAGTGTGCTCTGTAAGCACTTTTTCTCTTTGAATAGTGAAGGTAGGATCATCCCAGAGGTGTGAAGAATTAAATGTTTGAGCCCAAAGAGAATTAAACATTTAATCTAAGTTGGTTGTTCAGTTTGCTGCAGACTGTGTTAACTCTTACACAGTTTGTTTTTAATAACATTACAGTATGGTCCTGAAAACTGTTTATGGAGTCAAGAATTGCCTCATAAGCATATAGACAGAGTTTTGGACTTCCAGCGTATTTATTATGTATAGAAAGCCAAACTGTCATTAATGTGATATTATTTCCGAGGTCTGGGCGAAGAAAGCTCCTTAGGTTTTACCTCTTGTTTTACAAAAAAATAAAAACCTCAAACACAAAAAATTGTTCCCCAGCCTTTGCTCAGACTTAAAAATATAATGACCCTTAATTTTTGCATGTTTTAGAACTGTCTTCTTTCTTTACTGTTAAATGACACTGAAAATCTTGGCTGATCATTTGATCCACTTGTATAACATTTATTAAGAAGACGTTGGCAGAAATAATATATTTCAAACAAAAGTTTCACTTTGGAGACAAAATGATGTCAGCTTCAAATCTGGAGAATTTTGCCCTTTGGTCTGTCGAACCAACCTTCAGCATCAGTGACTGATTAAATACTGTAATAATAATATATAAAACTAAAACCTGATGTGTTTGTGTCTTTTTTTTTGTAGGACGGATGGTGATTGCAGTGCAGTTTGCATTGTATTTCAAATAATGCATAACTAAGTAGCATGTTAGTTGATATAAAATGCAAACTGCACTGGAATCACCATTCGTTGTTGTATCATCAGCTCATGACAAAAAGTATGTCAGAAATCAATTAATATAAATAATTCAATGAAGTTGTTTTATTTATTTATCTATTTATTTATTTATAAGAATTGTTTTTGCCATCCCAAACAAAAACTTTTTCCTGTGGTTTTATGAGGTGAGTCCAGCTCACTTTGGTGGTGAGAAGATATTTGATTATTTTTGAAAAGCCCATCAAATAATTTATAATTTTGTACTGCAAAACTTAATTTGCACAAATAAAGCATTTATTGAATTATTTATATTAATTGATATCTGACATACTTTTTGTCGCGAGCTAATGATACAACAACGAATGGTGATTGCAGTGCAGTTTGCATTTTATTTCAACTGATGGACAGTGGAGTAACTAAGAAACCAGTAATTATGTCATGTTGAAGAGATCCTGTGTGCTGAGTTTTAGCTTCATTGCTCACCTGCTGCCTGGACTCTCTGAGTATCCTCATTAAATCCTCAAAACTCAGTTGCTGCCTCACCTCTCTGCTTTTGGATCCGAACCTCAACAACCGCAAATCATAACACAATGTAAAGGGGCCAATTAACCGAAACTAGCCAGCTTTTTTGATGGTGGGAGAAGCCAAAGCTCTTGGAGAGAACCCACATCTGCACATTGGAAACTCCATCCATAGTTCCTGTGATACTCTGTGTGTAGTATCACAGTTCCACTTTGGTGGAACAAAGTTTGTGTATGCATCCATATACTGTTTGAAGGGAAATGTAGGGAATGTGAAAGAAGCTAATATGTTGCATTTTTTTTAAATTGGGAGAAGCCAAAGCTCTTGGAGGAAACCCAAATCTGCATAGGAATATTGTGGAAAGTCCATGCAGAAACAAAGTGTTGGAATTTTGAACCCTTGGTGAAAAGCACCAGGGCTGTGTTGTGTTTTGCAACCCCATCTCGTCATTTTGTTTGAACTGCTCTAAGGGGCAAAAGGCATTGGTTCATGCCAGGTTGGATGCCCGGATGCCAGGTCGGATGCCAGGATGCCAGGCATCCGACCTGGATGCCAGGTCAGATTCTTCTCCGAGATATTGGGTCATCTCAGTGGACACAGTGGAGATACAATCTTCCTCGTCAGTCTTTGCTGAGGAAAAAAGGAAGGTCATACTCCGAAGTTTGTCCTTGAGAGAAGCCTTGGAGTTTTTGCCATTTTGTTTGTGTGAAGATGTAGGTCTCTCACTTCTGTTGTCTGACAGAGTCCTTTCTGTGTGGTTTTGTTGTAAAACTTTTTGTTGGACTTTCTCAACGTGCTTCACCAAAAAGCTGTTTTGCTGGGTCAGAATTTTCTTCTTGCCTTCTAACATCTTGTAGGTTTCTTTCAATACAACCAAATCCTTCAATATCAAATTCAAGGCAACAACTTCTTCTAGAAGCTTTTCCTTGATTTCCTCCAGTTGCTGAAGTTCTTCCTGTCTTGTGTTGTATTTTTCCTCCAAGACTTCTTGAGACTCCAGTTTCATTTTCAGATCATGAACTTGCCGTTTTAACTTCTGGTTTATCGAACGATCAGTCTTTATCTGTTTCTCCAGGTACTTACAATCATCTTCAAGACCTCCTGTGTTTTCTACTCTCATGGCGATTTGTTTGACTTCCTTAGGCAAAGTTTCATTCTCTTCCCGGATAGTGCCGGCTGTATTGAGAAGCTTGCAAACTTTGTCAAAAAATGTGCCAACTTTTTTACAAACTCTCTGCTTAAGAGTTTTGCGTGGGACCACGGATCCTGAAATCTTTCCAAAGTCAAACATTTTCAGTTTAGTTTGATGAGCAACTACTTTAGGCTAAAAGGTTTGCAGCAATTTCTGTAAGCAGAGACGACGCAGACTCCTTCAAAGTGAGGCAAAGGGAATCTTATGATAAAGTCAAGAGTTCCACCTCTGTGACATCAAAGGAGTCTGTGACATCATTGTTGAAATCATTCTTTAGTCCCGTAGCCATGCCAACATGATGACCTGACAACATTCTGACACGCCGGGCCGCCTCACTGTTAGTGATGTGTGATAAACTGTTGATAAAATAAAACTCCTTTGGTCTTAATATCATTTCAGTAACAACTATTTATTGCCATGTAAAACAAAATTTGCCATTCAGAACTGAAGCCATGGCAACGTACAATAGCAGAGAATGAAATAGGTTATTTTCAAAATAGATATTTATGAAGATTATTAACGATCGGAGGCTTAATATTGAGTGCCCTTTAAATAACATGAACACTAATATGTCTGTTTTTAATGTGTTCTTTTTTTTTTAATTCCATCATTTTAAAATAAAATAAAAAAGATGAGGGAAATGAATACTGATAGCCATCAGAAAGAAATGATGTATATTAAGCTAACAAAAAGAATATAACCTTCAATTTTATCATTTTTGGTGGTTATAACACTTAAAGGGCATAAAATGCGAGTAAAAATTTTTGTTTTTAAATAGATATGACTTTTTTAAAAACAATTATTTTTAAAACGATCAATTTTTTTATTATATATTACAAGTAGTAATAATCTGAGATTTTTATTAAATATTAAATCAAATGAACTGAAAAATAAAAAATGTTGCAAACAGTCTGCCACTTTTTGGCAAATCTAAAACAACCTGGATCCAAAGTTTATTTGATCAAGTTGATTCTTATGAAAGTTTATACAGTTTCTGCCAAATTACCAACGTATGAAAACAATTGTTTCTCTGCGCTATATATAATTTTTGTCTCTTCGTTTTAGACGGGGAACTGAGAAGGGACAGAAAAAAAGGTATGAATTTCATCAGAGTTCTCAAAGATCCACGATGAGTCGGGTTCTATTGTTTCTCAGGGTTTGTACACAGGAAACAACAAGAGTCACTTTTAGAAGCTGGTAAGACTCTTGCCACAAAACATGAGTTAATAGAACTGGTTTGTCAGAAAATATGTTCTCTTTCCAGTTGAAAAATGTGTCAACAATGCAATTATGGAAAGAATCCCCAATATAAAGATGTCAAATGTGCTGAGTGATGACATACCTTTTAAATTACCAACAAAAGATATTTACTTTAACTCAAAACACAAAATTAAAATGGGAATGTTAGATGGTGAAGTTTACCACAGTATATATCATCAGGTTGATTTATAGTTTAGCTACATTTGTTCTCTCAAATACAATTTCATTTTCTGACAACTGAAAATATGGAGACTTTGAACACAAGCAACAGGTAACATCTTTACTTGTGGTTGCTAACCAGCCTGTATTGTCTCCTTTTAATTAACCACACTGTTACTAATTAACCACAGTGTTTGCCTAATTTAAATAACCACAGTAAAACTTCACGCTTCATGTAAGACAGTTTTTCAAATTATATTTTTTTTTTTGCATGAAACATGTTTTACAAAGTCTTTCACCAACTCATATTTTAGTAACACCCTTTAATAAAATCATGCAGTGTGTGTGCAGGCGGCTGAACAAGTAGCTTGTGTTTGTGGTGGCAAAGAAAGGAAAGAATGAGCCAAAGCAGGAAATGTTTGAAACATTAATAGTTTTCTCAAAAGAAGGAACCACAAGGGCGGATGTTCTATGATGACGACCCTCGACTATTTTTCACGTCTTACTCATTCTGCAGTTTCAGCCTTTCTGTTGTGACAAACATCTGAATTTCTGGAGCTCACACAGGAGCAGAAACATTTTATTTCTGGATTTAAACATGGACCACACATTGCTCTGTGTGCTGTGCGCACTGTGTAAGTACATTACATTTTCTGTTTGAATCGTGTCTGTAAAATCATCTTTAAATGTTTGGACGTTAATCACCGTGATCAACGGAGAAGAGAAACGCTGAATGTTGGTTGGTTGTGTAGTTTGCTGCAGATTGTTTTAAACATGTAATTACTACTTTCACAGTTTGGGCCTGATTATAAATTCCTTCATGATAAGTGTCCGTACAGAATTTTTGATTTTCAGCATATTTAACATGTTTGTAAAGCTTTATCATTAGTTCTATATCATCAATGTTTCTGAGGACTGGAAAAAAATATTTTTGTAGGCTTTATACCACTTGTTTTTGAAAAATAAATAAATAAATAAATAGAACCAAGAAACCATTTGAAATGACCAAATATCATTGCTCATCTTCAATCAGATATAAAATGCTTACCATTTGAATTAATTTATAATTTTAACAAGTCTGATTCCACTGCCATCTTGGCTGCAAGATAACGTGAGGAAATGAGAACAAACTGACGATATTTTTGACATCTTCATCAGAGAAAATACCCCTGGCCATCAATGATCCCCAAATTCATTTTAAAAGACATTAAATGTCACTTGAATCTACAAAAATACCAACATAAGTTGCGGTACAAAATCTACTTTTATTTCAAAACAAAAACATCATACAGCAATATACAACAAAGGTCATACATTCATGGTACTTTGCACTGAAGGTGAAGCGTGCTTTGAAAGTTCATCGAAAGCTTTCATGGATGATCTTGTGATCACTGATGGTGAAGTATCTTTGGTGCTGCTCTTGTTTTCATCAACATGCAGGAGGAAGGGCTGTCCTGGTTCCACACCAATGAGTTTGTCTTCAACACTGGCCCCCATCTTTGGTAAAATGCTAAGACGACAAATAATAAAAAATTATTAATAATATATAGAACAGCTACATTCAAATAGCAAACGAAGCCAATGAGAAAGTGCTTCTATAAAGAAATAGGATCATTAGAACAACATACCTGCACATATCTGACAACATGGTCCACAGCTTGACATGCCTGTTTTTTTCCCAGCCTGGAAGGAAAACAAGAAAAATAGCAGACACATTAGGAGACACTTATTTTAGCTCTAAACCTGAAGCAGGTTCAGTGCTAAAATAAACCTGTTGTAGCTAAAGTTAGCTTTAGACTCCAAAGCTGCATTTGCATTAACCTTAAACCAGCACAAACTGGAATTATGAGAAATAAATAAATTTTATGTAAAAACGTTCAATAGCGTAATTTACAACAAAACAATTGATCAACAAATGTTATCTTTTTTTGTACATTAACGGAGAACTTACAATCTTTGTAAATTTTTGTAATGAAAATCCAGCAGCAGGTTTTACACTGATGTGATACCATGTGCTTGAATTGAGGCTTCAAAGTGACAAATGACCTTTAGGGTCATTACTGCCACCTACAGGTCAGAGAGAAAAAATGAAGAGAAGGGTTTGAGAAATGTGTTTCAGCAACATGTTTAGGATCCAGTGGAGTTTTCTGTTGATTGTTATTTCTGACTGTTTTATTTTCTCCACCATTTTATGTTAATTGACCCAGTTTATACTCTTATACAATTCAGACATTTGATCAGTATTTTTATTTACAAACCCAACATATAAACCCATCCATTGATGCTAAAGCTCCATGTTTAACAGAGTTTTTATATTTATTTCAGAAGGACATTACATCAAATAAAAATGTCTCTTTTGTGAAAAGGTTCAGGAAGAGTGGAGACTGTCTACCAGGATGAACAGCAGCAGCCAGTGTACTCCTCTCTCCTGCATGGTCAGTGTCACACTTTGCTCTCAATGCTTCCACACATATTTAATATACATTATATTCATGTTTTTCCTACCCATAACGTCTGATTCTGGAAAAAAAAAATCCTCTCTGCTTTGACTTTTATTTCGTTTAATGATATGACAAAAAATCATGTATTTAATAAAATAATAAGATAAGATATATATGTTATTTTTAACTATTGAGATTGTTTTTATAGACAAGGGAATAATATGATGCCTGAATGCTATCTTTAAATGTATTTCTGTTTAGCCTTATATAGTTTAACTTAGCCACAGAAAAACACAATAAAGATATTTTTTTGGCTTTCAACCTATTTAACACGAATTATATAAGTATTATTGAAGTTGGTATTTTTCAGTCCTATGTAACTGGTAATTTCAATATAACTTAAAAGACCAAGCTGCACTGTGGTTCAACGTGTTGATTGTAGCCAGAACAGGCTCAGCTGTTCTGATTGGTTGGTTTTTACAGCAGTAACAAAGTTTCCACTCAGTTAATCAGGTTCATGATATAAATGGTTATAACTTGTTTTTTAATAATAACAGCCATCTATTTAAAACAATAATTTTGATAAAATGAATTTAAGTCAAAATTGTAAAGGATATTTAAATTGTAAAGGATAGTGGTTCCAATGTTAACTTTCCATCAGCATCACTGACAAGATGAAACTTTTTTAACTTTTCTGTGTTTCACTGACTTGTAGGAGACCTTTGTGTCTATGAAACAATCAGACAGCCTGGAAACAACGTAAATGGTACAGTATAAAGATTAATTATTAGATAACTGCTGTTAGGCTTTGCAATTATACAGCGACTTCAAACTGCAATAAACTGAAAGACAAATTTATAGTTTCAGGTCATTTAGTTTATGCTAATGTCACCGCCAAATCAGATTCAGCCTGAAGATTTTGTCAAGAGGAATGAAAATCTGGAAGTGGTCAGTATGAACAGTTTCTATAAATCAGACAGGGTTTTTATATAATTGTGTTAAAGTTATGTTCTCTTTAAAATGTTCTCTTTGGTTTTTCACTCAGTCTTTTTAAACCTAAATACCTGTACTAATATGTTGGTATAGAGAGGTGCTTATTGAACTGCCTCTTATTATTCAATAAAAAATTTAATTTTATTGATGTTTTGTTTCAACTCATTTCAATAGAAAATACAACACCATATAGTTTGTCATATTTATTTGAGTCAGAAAGACGTCTGTTCTTCAACCTCCTCTGTCGTCATAGAAATTCATTGATCATCTAATAACCTGCTTCAGAGAGGATTAGATTTAGATCAAATGTAAATAGATTTTTTTGCACATCTTTAGATAACAGCAAGAAAAATTCTGCATTTAAATGCTTTATTAAAATATCTAAAAAAATGTTGTTGTTTCATCTTAGAAGCTATAATTTTGAGGAATGGTTGTTAGTCATGTTAATTACTCACTTTGTCATTGTTGATAATTCATGAATAGTTTGAAAAATGAGCCGATAGACCTTCTAGAATGTAAAAATACAAGAATCAAATAAAGATATTTTGACTAAATACTGTCTTTTTACTTTTAGCATCTTTTTCTTAGATAGTTAGCAGGACTTTATTTTTATTCATGCTTAACTGATAAACAAGCCTCCGGTCACTAGGTGGCAACAGTGTTCAAACTAATCAACAGCCTGCCTGTTCAAGCCCACTAGAAGTAGCTACATATCACTGTTGTAAACGGAGCAGAGCAAAATTAAGAGATTTTTATTTTCAAATACAATAATACTAGGAGAACCAAGTCCTATTAGCAGAATGATTTTACTACTGGCAGAATAAAGGAGCAATATTGCCGGAATAGAGTAGTTAAATTTAAAACTTTCGGAAAACATGACTTTGACCAGCTTAGCAAGCCTGGTTCTTTCTTTGAAGTAGAAAGTTGTTTAAAGTTTAAACAATGGTTTCAAAGTCCTATGGCTGATAATTTGATTCTGATATGTTAAAACATCAAATGTTTCCTTATTTGTTAAACCAATACCAACTATAACCTTATAAGCCCGTCAGTATTCCTGGTTTTAGCGCAGTATGGGGAAAAGTTTGTTAGACAGCTGGGGTTTTTGGTTGGCTTTTCTGCACCTTTTCCAGTCATCCACCAGAGGGACCCAGGAGATCACTTTCTATTGGAGGGCGTTTCCCAGGCGTTGAGCAGACTCACCTCCAGATCGTTACTTCATAAGCCAGAGTTCAAGAGGAGCTGTCGCGAGTCCCTCTTTGTCTCACTGTTTACCTTCATGGTACTTTGTGCCTTTCAGTGTCTGAGCTCCCTGAGTTTTTCCCCGAGTTCTGTTACTCACCCTTCTGGTCTCCTGGTAGGTTCTCTCAGTGGCGTTCTGGTTGTTACCCAGTTGTTGCTTCCTGGATTCTTCTCCCTACAAAGGTTTTCTGGTTCAAACTTCCTGACTGGTGACTACCCTCCATCTCCAAGGTTGTACTTTTACCTGTCCGCCCTCCAACAAGTCCCTCTGGCAGTCTTAACTGTGAAAAAAATATGACCTCTAGGGGGAGCATATCGGAAAATAATTGAAAATAATTCCACGGTAACTTGCGCTGTTATTCATTTAGCTATATAAGCTGTTCTGTCTCACAACAACTCATAAGATTATTGAAATGTTGCAAACAGTTTGCCACTTTGTGGCAAGTCTAAAACAAACTGGATCTAAGGTTCATTTGATCAAGTTGATTCTTATGAAAGTTTATACAGTTTTTGCCTAATACCAACGTATGAAAACAATCATCTCTCTGCGCTATAGATAATTTTGTCTGTTTTATACGGGGAACTGAGGAAGAGGACAGAAACAAAGATGTGAATTTCATCAGAGTTCTCAAAAATCCACTATGAGTCAGGTTCTATTCTTTCTCAGGGAAAGTACACAGAAAACAAGAGTCACTTTTAGAAGAAGCTGGGAAGACAATTACCACAAACCATGATTATATGTGTTGATAGAACTATTTTGTCAGAAAACATGTTCTCTTTCCAGTTGAAAAATGTGCAATTATGGAAAGGAAGCCCAATTCAAACATGTCAAATAATCTGAGTGATGACATACCTTCTTATTGACCAACAAAAAATATTTAATTTCATTCAAAACACTGACGTGTAAACTGGGAGCCTTAAATTGTGAAGTTTGCTACTGTATATGTCACCAGGAAAGGTTGAATTATAGTTTAGCTAAATGTTTACTCTTAAATAAAATTTCATTATTTGACAACTCAAAATATGGAGACTTTGAACATAAAGGTTATAGCTTTATTTGTAGTTGCCAATTACACAAAATGTTGTCTGTAGCCCTGGTAGCATCGGTGGGCATTGCTGTGCCCTCCCACCACCCTGTACTGGAAGCTTTTTGTTGTTTTTATCTTACAGTGGCCAACTCTCTGTTATTCCTATATCGATATGGTATAGTAGGGGCTTCCGCTCTTCCCGTGCCTTCTGTCACTGTTTTCAGCAGTTAAAACTGTTTAATCCGTTGTTAAAGCGTCGTAACCTGCTTTTCCGAGCCGCCTTTAAACGCAACATGAGCGCTAAGACGCTCGCGCTGGGTTTCCACCTGTGCGGCAGTGAAGGAGACCTGATGCTGCTGTGCGGAGCTACGCAGGTGTGTGTTAGTCATTGCAGCAAACCAGCAAGACTCATAACTTTTCAGTTTTTCCCCAAACTAACCGACTGAGTTGAGTAAAGCTGTTGGATGCAGGTAATGTGAGCTAAAAGACGACTAGCTAATACCAATACAGCACCGACGACTAGCTAATACCAATACAGCACCTTAAGCTTGTTAACTAGCAGCCTGTAGATGCCTTTATAACTAGTAGCCTGTAGACTACTGATGTTGTCTAAGTTCAAAAGTGGGTAGTACTTGTTGTTGTATTCGTGCTTGATAAAGACCAGACGTTGAATAATGCTCAGATACTTTTATTAAAGCATCTTTTAGAGGTCTGTTCACACAGCTTGCTCACAGGTGTGTCACATCCACTTCTATTGTTCCATTCCCTACATTTATACATTCACGTGAACTCATGCTTGCCACCTAGTGGACATAAACATAATTCATTCAATCATGACACTTGTTACATTCACTTGAGTAACCTTTTTGGAAAAAAAATTACTGATGAGTAGTTTTACTGCACTGTACCTTTTTCTTTCACTTGAGTAATATTATCATTATGTATTCATTTTAACCCCCCATTAGACTTGTCTGGAGCGGGGCTGATTGTCTGTCTGTTCTGTATTAATCAGTGTTATTTAACCTAATTTAAATAACCACAGTGAAGCTTTATTCCTCATGTAAGACAGTTTTGCAAATTATATTCTTATGGCATGATTTTTTTTTTTACAGAAATATTTTTTGTAAAAATATTTTTTTAGTAATTTGAGTAAATAATTACTAAAATTTGTCACTCAAGTTTTAGTAATGACGCTTAATAAAAACATGCAGTGTGTGTGCAGGCGGCTTAACAAGTAACCTGGGTCTGTGGTGGCAAAGGGAAAAAAGAGTCAAACAGGAACTGTAGGTTAGAAACATTAATAGTTTCCTATTAATGGAACCACGAGGACGGATGTTCTGTAAACATGACGCTCTACTATTTTTCACGTCTTACTCATTCTGCTAGTTTCAGCCTTTCTCTTATGAAAAACATCAGAATTTCTGGAGCTCACAGAGGAGAAGAAACATTTTATTTCTGGATTTAAACATGGACCACACATTGCTCTGTGTGCTGGGAGTATTGTGTAAGTACATTACATTTTCTGTTTGAATCGTGTCGGTAAAATCATCTTTCAATATTTGGATGTTAATCGCCGTGGTCAACAGAGAAGAGAAACGTTGAATGTTGGTTGGTTGTTTGCTACAGATTGTTTTAAACGTAAAAAATTTTTACTACCTTCGCAGGTTGGGCCTGGTCAAAAATTCCTTCACGATAACTGTCTAGACAGAATTTTAGACTTTCAGCATATTTAACATGTATAGAAAGTCATTTGTCAATCAGTGTTTCTGAAGACTTCCCTTTTCTCTGAGGAAGAAGGATTTTTGTTGATTTTACAACACTTAATTTGAAAAGAAAATAAAATAAAAAATCTAAAATGACCAAATATCACTGCCCAGTCTTCATTCAGATATAAAATGCTTATTTGAATTGTGTTAATTTTTTCACTGGGTCTGATTCCACTGCCATCTTGGCTGTAAGTTGATGTGAGGAAATGAGAACAAACTGATGATGATATTTTTGACATCTTCATCAGAGGAGCTGTAATCTGAATGTTCATCTATAACTTGTAGCTTTGAGACTTTGTCTCCCAAATTAGTTTCCGTTTCCTCACCTCTTGAACAATAAACCTTATTGTGCAACATAAATTATAAAGGTACCTTATTAGATGCCTTTAAAATTTATTAAGGACATGGAGTATTGCAGATCTTTGTGAACATCCCCATTTCTGTAAATCAGGAGAGTCCAAAGTCGGTCCTCGAGGGCCGGCATCCTGCATGTTTTAATTCTCTCTCTGGTTTAACACACCATCAAATGATGGCTCATTAGAAGCCCCAAGAGGAACATTGACAAGCTGAAAAGGTTGTTGCTATCACCAGGGAGAGAACTAAAACGTGCAGGATCCCGGCCCTCAAGGACCGACTTTGGGGACCACTGCTGTAAATAAACATTATGAATCCCTTAGGTCACAAAGGTCATAAAGAGGTCGGCGTTAACTCAGAGAAGCCAACCCTGTAATGTCGTAAACTAACATGGTTGGTGTGTGTGTGTGTTTAACTCGCAGTAACTGATTACTCTAGGTCAGTTTTATTCTTCCACTGATTCCAGATAAATCATTGAACATTCAAAGACCAGCAGGTCTTCGTCTCTGTGGCAGAAACACAATCAGATTCCTTAAATGCTCCGTTTCACCCACACTGCTCAATCTGAAATATATGTACAACATATAAGGTTTTATTTGAGTTGAAACTCCAGAAGTATGCAATACATTTTAACCCTTGTGTTTAGAAATGGGGTCCAACCGACACCACACACGTAAAACTGGTATCATTTGCCACAGTCCTCTACGTTTGCCTCAGTCCTCGCACACACAAGGATTAATGGTGAATAATGTATAATCCTTTACAGTAATCTTTTTGTTTCACATCTAACACATTTTCAATCTGTGTTTTAGTTCTCAGTTTTCTCCTCTGCTGTGGAAAGTCTCCAGGTAAAAGAATATTCTTTTTCTAGAGCTTGGCTGAATTTGCATTTTGATTGAATTAAGCTTCTGATTTTGCGTCTTTGTGTTCTAGGAGAATCTCTTTTTAGCAGGAATCTTAGGACATCCGTCACCCATACTTATGTAACAATTACTAATATGATGGAGCTACAAATGAGTGCCAAACAAGAATTTTCTGTTTGGAGACAAAAAGAAGTTGGTTCCAGATCTGTAGTATTTTGCCCCCTGATGTTTTGGATTGAGCCTCAGAATAACTGCCTACTATTATAAATGTGTGTCAAAGTAAATCCTGGTGTCGTCTTTTTACTCTAAAGGACATTGATCATTGAAACTATTAAAATAGAATAAATGTTTGTAGTTTAAATTAATTTATACCCTGTTAGGCAATTTACTGTATAGATTGACATTAACATTAAATATAAGAAATGTAAATATGTTAATTTACATTAAATGAGTCTAAAAATGTCCTGAAGTTTTTCAGTGAAAATTAATACAATTATGTTATTTTCCTAAAATGCCAGAATATTGAGAATTATTTTGGTTACTTTCTTCAAATTTACCACTTCATTTTCTGAGTTTTTGGTTATATTGCCTTTAAGTTTCATGAATTGGGGTGAGTTGTTTTCCTAATCTTTCCTCCATATTCTCATCTTGGTTTGCTGGTATTTTGGCCCATTCCTCCTGAATCACCTGGTGTAACTTAGTCAGGATTGCAGGTGGTTCTGTTCCTCCACATTTTCACTTGTACAAAACTTGTCTATATGTGACTGATCCCTTGAAAACATTGACTTTGTCATCTGCAATTTACTTTTTAAATGACTGGGGTTATTGTCCATTAGGAAGAAATTGACAAACTGAACTATTTAAACAATATTTACACTTATTCTTCCATTGTGATATCTCATTTCTGAAGTGCACCAGTCCCTCCTGCAGTAAAACAGACAAAACATGATGCTGCTACCTCTGTGCTTGATGGGTATTTTGGTATTTTAACATCACTATGGATTATGAAAGTTTATCCTTACAAGGTCTTTTTGAATTGATTCCAGTTTAATTTCTGGTGAAAATGATCACAGGTTTCCTAAATTATACAGGACTGAGGAGAGTGGAGGCTCTTTGTGACCTGGAAAAATACCACTAAAAGCAGATGTTAAAGAGAGTTTAGCTCTTTCTTCAGGTGCCGATTAATGTCAGTGACGGCCTTTAAAAATACACAAAATGTTTCTGTGTGTTTCATTATATTCCGCCATTTTGTACAGCTTTGCCGGGATCTGGACATGAGAATCTGTGGTCAACAGAACCAGAGTCCATCCTCACTGTGTCTCCATCATGGCTGAGTCCTGGAGCCTCAGTGACTCTGAGCTGTGAGGTTAAACCTTCATCTGCAGGATGGAGGTTCTACTGGTATAAAGTTGTTCCTGATTTATCAAAGAACTACAAATATGATTCAATGCCTGATGCCATCAATGGGACTGGAGAGAACTCCTTAATCATTCATGGACAGAAACAAACAGCAGGTTTTGCATGTAGAGCTGGAAGAGGAAACCCCGAGGATTTCAGTAAATACAGTGAACCAAAGTTTATCTGGTCTGCAGGTCAGTGTGATTAAATTTAATAATCTGTACGTTTGACTGTCATTTAAAGAAATTCTCATTTTGTCTGAAAATGTAGTTTAATTTATGTTAAAAGTAATGAAGAGGTTAAAAAACATTGGGATTGAAAAAAAAATAAGTTTGACAATTCAAAACAAAAGTGACTGGGCAGGTCACAGACATAGTGAAGGTAACAGAATCACCTGTTTAAGATTAGATTGATATTTTTATCAGTCTAATAAATTTGCTTATACTCATGATTAAACATGCAGTGCTCCACTTATTGAAATCTACAAAGTAACCTCAAAGAGGAAAAAACATCTAGTAAACAGTGGTCCCCAACCCCCGGTCCGTGGACCAATTGGTACCGGGCCGCGCAAGAAATAATTATATATTTCCGTTTTATGTATTATTTGAGTCTGGAGGATCTTTTATTTTGAAAATCCTTTAACCGGATTATCTCAGTTACTTGTGCGCCAACACTGAGCCCACAAGCAGCAAAATCAGTAAGAAACGGATCAGATGTCTTTGGGAAGTTTCTTTGCAAAGGGGAAAAGTCTCAGAGAAGAGACAGGAGGATGGATTTATCCCGGACCCGTAGGCGAGACGAACATTACAAGCCGCTCTGTGTAACACGCGGCGACCGGCTGCTAATGAGGCAATGAAGCTTCAAACTGCTTCGCCACGTAGAGAAAAGCAGGCTGTGGATATAAGCAACACTTCGGGTGTCATTGTCTCCCATCGCCCCCAGATGGGACCGTCTCGTTGCAGAGAAACAAGCTCAGGGCTCCCGTTAGTCATCGTGAGTTAAAATTTTCACGAAAGTAAAATGCTCGTTTTTGTGGCGCTTCTGTATCTTATTTTGAAGGGATATGTAAACGTTACCATAGCGACCAGAGTCGGAGCGTTTGGGGGGTGGTCGAGAGGAGATGAGTAGAGCTTGTGAGTCTTAAGTCTGGTTTAGACAGCAAGATTTAAGAATAGTCTCCAAACCTCTGTGACCACAGAGCTGATAAAAGTACAACAGCTGGTTCAATCGGTTCGTGTCTCCAGCCACAAGGCAGAAGCAGCACACCACACGAACCGATTCCAGTCACAAACAAAGCGATTCTAGAAGAAAATCCACAAAACCCCCAACATAGCATACGGGAATTTAAAATGACCAAACACGGATGACGATGTAGAAGCAATAGTGATAGTTTGTGGACTCATTTTAAGAGATAAAAGACAGCGGGAGCAGCCGCTCTATTTGCTGCACTATGATTTGGAGGTGACTGTGTTTTTTCATAGTTAACATTTTTAACTGAATAAACATAATAATGACCTTTACATATAATAATAAACATTTCCACATATCATCTCCAATATCCACTGGACTCTCAGTTGCGCGATATGTCAGTTGTTTGGGATTCCCCTCTGTTCTTACGTCACCGCGCTTTCTAATT